CCGCCTTCTTGCATCAGTTTTTGATTTTTACGAAAATTCTACCGTTACTGCTACCATAGCTTCACTATAGGACGGTAGTGAACAAAATGGACATTATAATCGTGATTAGCACATGAAATAACTTCAAAACACAATTTTTCACGAAAATCCATGATTTGGGATCGTGCAGAATGAATATCGTAACCTTACCGTATAATGTCAAAAACTGAGATAAATTATATCTTGATAATCAGCACCTTCTATAACACCTTGAAGAAATTCTTGGAAACACGTTTTGATTTTTTCCAAAAAGACCAAATTCGCACAGTACGACTCATGGGCAGGTCATAAGTTTGACAGAGCGAAAAAGGCTCTGGCCAAAAGGGCAGTAATCGTAATCGGCTTTGCCGGGAATGTGTTAATATCAATGTTTAGCGTTTATCTCCAAATCTTTGAACAGTAAAGGTGTGCTTTCACCTCGAGGTTGAAGTTATGAAAAGAAGCAGTAGAACAAAATGAAAAACGCGAAGAATTCATAACTACACTTACTTCATCTTTAAAGACTATAGCACTAAATTACATCCAACAGATTCTCTACGATTAAGTATGTTACTCATACAATCTGCTGTCTACCACTCAGTCGCCGTTGACAACCGCATAAGATCCTCTCGAATTCGTTTTGTTTCCGAACAAAATTTTGTCCTGGCGTTGACCCAACTCCACCGGATATTTAGTGATTTGGTGATCTGTATCGGGACAAAATGATTGTGCTGGAGGTTGACCTACACGGTCATCCTGCAATATGATTTTGGCTAGTGTCCGCCATAAGTGACGACATTTTCGGTCACTTTTGGATATTGCGGCACTAATTTTCGTTTATTCGATCGTATAATGATTGGTTTGATCTTTTCAAGGATTTGGCATCTGTTGATGATCTCTACTACTGCTTTCGTAAAACACTGTACTCGACTTTTTCAAGATTTGTACCGTTTCGTTTCAAGCCTTTCGCACTAGAATATTATCCTACACATATCAAAAATCTTTTTCACCAGAAATCTCATCTATTTTCGCAGTCATCTGACCCTTTGAGTGATGATGAGTATAGAAAAATTTGTGCAGATATCAATCATCATATTAAGAAATTTTTCGCTAACCGAGAACGACGTCTTTCTAGAAACAATTTCAAAGAGCTTTACGGATACTTCAGATTCAAGATGAAAGGTCAACAAAAAATTTCTAACTTGAAAGATGAGCAGGGCTACGTTGATGACAGAAAGGTGACAGAGAGAAAGCAGAAAGGTGACAGAGAGAAAGCGGAAGCGCTAGGAAAATTTTTTGCCTGCTATTTCACCGAAAAAGAACCGATTCATAAAGGAACATACTATCACCTAACGACTCGCACATCTGTTGCCCAGATCTGTTCATTGACACTACAAAAGTTTACGACATCTTGAAAAAACTCAAAGAGACAACGACCGCAGCATATGACGGTATTAATCAAATTGTGTATCGCAGATGCGCTGGTGCTTTGGCTTTCCCTCTGTCTATTATTTTCAATTCCTCTCTTTCTCTAAGTGTAGTGCCTGTCATTTGGAAGGAGGCACTAGTAACAGCTATTCCTAAACGAGAGCATAGTAGTGCCCTCTAATTTTCGTCCTATCAGCATAACTGCAACATTCGGAAAAATACTTGAAAAGGTTATAAAGTACGTCCTGTTTGAATGGTTGCAAGACAACGATATTTTGCCGGCAGCCTAAATGGGCTTCCTCCCTGGGGGGTCCACTACTGCATTACTCACGGATTCCGTTCTTGATTGGATAAGTGCTTTGAACGTTGGCAAATCTGTTGATATTAGGTTCCTTGATCTATCCAAGGCATTTGACAGAGTTGATCATTACAAACTACTATCCAAACTTGACAGTTTTGGAACCCGCGGACAACTGCTATCTTGGTTTGGGTCTTACCTGCATGACAGAGATATGACGGTACGTGCAGAGAGGGACCGAATTCTCAAGCAGATTTCCGTGCAGCAGTGGAGTACCCAGGGCAGCATACTTTCGCCTCTTCTTTTCCTCGCATGCACAGCGAATTTACCATCCTATCTGCAGACTCATCCTAACATCAAGGCGCAAAATTTTGCAGATGACATAAAGATTTATTTTTGCTATACTGTCGCATCGTCTAAAATTTGGAAGCTTCCCGTTAATGCTTTGAAATCAAAAGTGATGCACCTTGGTAAAGCACCATACCATGCCTATACATGTAAGGGCGTTGAGCTAGAATTATGCAATGTTGCTAGGGACTTAGGGGTTTTTATCGATGACCAACTCAATTTTTCTCTTCACTTTGATTCGGTCTCCAAAAAAGCGCTGGCCGTAGTTTTTGTTTTATTCCGAAGTATTCATAACAATGATGCAGGGCTTTTTGTGAAACTATATAGAACATATGTTTTGCCACTTTTGGAATACGCAATCCCTGTTTGGAATCCATTCAAAAAAAGGACTTCGAGCTAGAAAGAGTACAAAGAATATTCACTAAAGTCGTTTTCTATAGATGTTATCCCAAAAGCGATTATCCTCAATCGCTACCAGCGTACAGATCGAGATTATTTGCTTTGGGGTTGCGAAGTCTATTGTACCGAAGGATATGTAATGATCTGATATTTTGTTTCCGTGTCATCAGACTAGAAACGCGATTGAAACCAAGTAGGTACTGGGTCTTCAGGCTTTGTGGGATGCGAATTGGAGGGCTCTGTTTGAGTTACCGTAAACTGGGAAGCAGAGTCCTTTTTAAAGCTTTCAACTCCTTTGTGTGCCGAACCGCAAGATGGCTAATTCTTCTGCCTAAGGAAATAACTACTTGTACGACCTCTGCGGACTTCCGCAAGAGACTAGCCACGATTAACGTTTTGCAATCATTAAATATCGCTGATGTTACCTAAAAGTTTACGCATCCATGAAACTCAGATTAGCACCTTTTTTCACCCAATTGGTAAGTTAAATACATAATGCTCTGGATTTTTGTACCTTTATTTGGGCGATCATAGCATGCTTTCCTCGCGTCGAGCCGTTTGAGGAGATCAAAACTTGGTGAGCCCCTCTTCCTTGAGGTCCCCCCCCCCCTCCTCTCGCCTGGGGTCCTTGACGGATTCGTCCGCCCTAGGTTAAGTCGGTCAGCCAAGCCCCGGGGTGTCTGTGTCCTCATTTAGTTGCGTCTGGAGTAGGGAACAAGATCTCGGAAAATGACCCCCACCTTCTGAAGAAGGAGAACCACCTGAACGCCTCGCAGGGACTGTTACGACCACTGTGCCGGACCAGAGCATTACTTTTCTTTTTTTTGTCGTGTTCATGTTGTGTTTATTTTGTTCGTGTTTTGCAGTTTTGAGTTTTTGGTTGAGTTTTTGGAACACCAGTGAGTGTACTACATATATAAATAAATAAATATTGTTACATTGTCTCTCATTGTTTTTGAGTTGTTATGTATTTGATAGTTGCTCTTTCTAGCGAGTATCTCATTCGGATTGGTATTCTGCCTCTGTTTGGTGGCTTAAATTTTTCCCAATTACTGTCGTAAAAGTAATCTCTCTGACATTGGCATATATGACGTGCGTATTCACTGTTTCTTCAGATCCTGGTATTGTAGATTTCAACGTTGAACATATAGTGTTTTCGATATCTTGTCGAAGCTCTACTACCTGTCGAAGATTTTGTTGATCGTCTAAACTGCAGGCTACTCTATTACCCTAAAATCTCACAGATAAATCCTCCCATCAAATAAGTCGTCTACAGATAAGTCCGCCTACAGATTAGTCCTTTTTCCTTCCATTAAACCACCATGGAATCTTGTCAGATAAGTCCGGATTTATTTGATGGGAGGACTTATTGTTAGACTGTTGGCGGTGCGAGGGTGTTTTTTCATCGATTTGTCTTGTCAAAAAAGCGGACTTGTCTGTAAGATGTTAGGGTATCTACTGGCGTTTTTTGTTTTGATAAGAGGCTCCAAAGCAACGGTCCGGTTTAGCTGATCCTATACAATGTTAGGCCCTACTGAAAACTAGGGTAAGCTACTGGTCTGGCCACTAAACGTCGGAGTAACAAAGATAATAATGTTGCAGACTTCTGGGAACATCACTAGCCAGATTACTGCTATTTCAGGAAAAGTTGCGTTTTTTGATATGAATGTGAAATAATTCATAGAATACGAAGCAAGGCGATTCGTTTGCTTGTTCTTTTTTCTGTTCAGAACATCGAGATCTTTTTATCATTTCTTTTCACAAGGCTGGTCCTGACTTTCTACAGGAAGATTCCGCAAAGATGAATCACTTGTCATTAGTTTCCTCAAAATATCTATCACCAGGTAGAGTGCACACTTCGGCAATGCATATCAGTATAGTCTGTGTATCGGAAATTCAAAAGTGCTAGAAAAAGAAAAAGAGTTCTAAGGCTAAATTCACGGCCTGTGGTGGCTTGGGGACTTCTAAATTTAGCCGGCTATTCGACTGCGTTTGACCGGAAATGTGCTGCACAGCTCCCGATCTAAATGAAGTTGAAAATGCTAAACCGGCACTTCTACGACTCTTTTATCCCCACCATAACGTCGCGCATATTTTCAGTGAGTGCCACTTCGTCTCACTTGCGTTAGTCAATCGCGAATGCACGTGCTCTCTTTTTCGTAGCAACACACATACGCAGCGTGTGGGCATTGCGCAGCGATCTCCGGTCGACGCGCAGAGGACTTCATGATTTGGGAAAGCCATATACAGGGCTTAGTGTAGCTTGTCGGTGTCGCCAGAGTCCAGCGCGGGAGTGGAGATGCTAAGGCAAGGGACACTGCGTTTGATAAGCCTTGTACATAGATTAAAAGGGCGCAGCAATCAGAACTTTTTGCCTTTGTTAAAAACTTCATGCACTTCCAGGATGTATACAAGATTGAACCTTAAATTGAGGCACCCTTTTTCTTTAAGGAACGGCAACATTTTCACGAATATAAAATCAATGAATCTGTTACCCTATGAGCTGAATCTAATGTGTGATCAGCGGTGGTTTTTCACGATAACTGATACGAGCCGACATTCTGCTTCCATTCACTTCACATTTACTCACCATGCCAATAATGTAAGTGCTATGGGCGTCCCCAAAGGCATGCGAAATCAGTGTCTGCCACGAGACGGCGACGCATCGACGTGATGGTATAATTATATCCTAGGAAATAATTTTCATCTTAAACTGCGTTGCGTAGAAGCAAAATCTGAGCATGTAATTGTGCTACAATTTGGGAAGAGACAGGGATCAGTACCTTGACACAAGAAGTACAGTTCTCTGGCCTTTTTTGATTGACTGAAAAACAGGTAAATCGAACTTACCACCAACAAATCTACCACGAGAGGCCAGCAGAGACACATAGCAGTCGTTGTAAAAAACAAAGTAATCTGTAAAACACCTGTGTTATGCAAAAATGCAACATAGCTTAGCGTGTTAGTTATTCTCTAACATTACTCATGCATATTGTAGGAATCAAGCGCAAGTGGATAGCATTCTCTTTCCTCGTATTTGTAATCACAAAAGTTACCCATGCATCCACCATGTCGATTGGAATCAAGTACAATAAGAAGTACACTAGTGGTGCAGCGAGGAAAGATCCAATTCCGCATATGATTGAGTCCGATCTTTCAGTCTGTACACATTTAGATGGCCCAACACCATAGCGTAGAAGCTATATGGAAAATGCATTCCCTAGTTTGGAACATCAAAATTGCATACCATTGAAAGTACCGAACCGAGAGCGATGCCAACAATTCCACCAGTGAGAGTAATAGCTCCAAAAATTGCATCAATCCTAAATAGTAAGTTCTTTGCATACCAGGGAGCGGCACGAGGGTGGCAAAACGATGTTGAGGAAAGCCTCTTCTTCGACTTTTACGAATTTGCATTTGATGGCGCCAGCTGCAGGATCTTTCAATCAAGGAGCGCATTCTTCCTCGAAAGGACAGGCGTCGTTGCCTTTCGGATCCGATCGAAGAGGAGAGGAGAAGCTTTTGAACCAAAAGTTACTAAATGTATCTTCGTGAAGAACAGCTTCGTAGAAATCATGAAAAAAATAGTCCGGGGTGGCAGAGTATGCTCCTCCTAGCCCTTTTTTATACACCAAATTTGGAGGTATATCGTCGTGTGCGCGCTGTAAACGAGGCAATCAAACTAATTAATGAAAAGAAATCTGATTTTTAAGAATAACGCGAACGAACAATATCGTATTTGCACGTCGGTCGTGTACGAACTTGCTGAGGGGATGCTTATGTGTAGATGGAAGTTACGATACGTTCTTTACTTACGTAGAACAGTTTCTAGGATGACATTTGCCACCCTCGTGCCGGGCCCTGAAGAGTACCTCGCTCATAATCGCCGAGGGCAGGCTGCCATGCGAATTTTGAGCAAGCAGGCACCGGAAAAATAGTCCGCTGATTTCTTGCGGTCCGCTGGCAGATATTTGGAATAATTTTGGCCAGTTTTCAGACGAACGCTCGGATAACTATCGCGGTCTTTCTGTGGATAAGTTGCGGGCTGGCCGCATTCTCGCGGATTTTCCGCGAGGATATGCAAAATTGTTGGGGGTCGCATGGTCCTTTGTGAAGGACCGCACTGCCCAGGGTACCTTCCGTTGAATGAAGATACCCCAAACTTGGGTGATCAAGCCAGCGATGACACCCCTGCCACATAAAGTCCCATTTTTGCTCGGCGTACGCCTGAAACTGCGTAAAAAGGGTCCGAGCGTTTGCTGAAAGCTTGGCCAGCGCTCTCTGAAAAAAATTATTTGCCGAGCGCTTGCAAAAAATGCTGTATTGTTCCCCGCTGGCAGAATATGCGACCGTAAAGGATGTGCCGCTCGCTGAAGGTTTCGCCACGCCCCAAAATTCTGCTGACCGCCTGCAGAAAAGCGCGAGTTTGCGGACATCCTGCCCCTCTCAGGTAATCGCCGGGGGCAAGCGGCCATGCGATTTATGGGTGGGCGGGCACCGGAAAAATAGTTCGTTGACTTCTTGCGGTCCGCTTGCAGATATTTGGAAGAACTTATGCGAAGTTTTAGACGAATGCTTGGAGAGCAATCGCGGTTCTTTATAGATTAGCTGCGGCGCAGTGGCCGCATTCTCGCGGACTTTTCGCGAGAATAAGCAAAATTTTCTGGGGCCGCACGGTCCTTTGTGGAGAACCGCGCAATCCCCAGGTACTTTCCGCTGAGATAAACGACCTCAAACTTGAGTAACTAAACCAACGGTGACATCTCTGCCACACAGAGTCCTATTTGTGCTCGGCGTACGCCCGGAACTGCTTAAAAAGAGTCCGACCGCTTGCTGAAAGTTTGGCTAGCGCTCGCTGAAAGAAATTATTTGCCGAGCGCTTGCACAAAATGCTGTATTGCTGCCCACTGACAGAATATGCGACCTTAAAGGAAGTGCCGCCAGCTGAAGGTTTGGCCACGCCCAAAATTCTGTTGACCGCTTGCAGAAAAGCGCGAGTTTGCCGCCTGCCCCCGACGATTATCTGAGCCGGTGAATATCTGAGTCGGGCGGTCATTTGCTTCTGCTGTGGATGTTCATAAAATTTTCCACACAATTTGCCGTTGAAGTGCGGGACAAGACATCTTACAAATCGCCAAAAGTATGGGGACGTATTGTGTTGGTTTAGGTCACAAAAGAGAGTAGTAGTACTAGAGACGTTCTGAGTTTGAATTGTAAGAGATTCTGAAGGCATCCTAATGGTAGCTGTAGTGGCGTGGGCGTGACACTGACTCTCCAATTGCTATCTATAATATCTTTTGGTTGCCCTCTGTAAAATAATCGGCAGCTTATCGACATTTCGGCCTTCAACTTCGCCGGGTGCCTAGCAAAGGCAGATTGGCTTAGATTTTCTCCATAGTCCAGTCACTGCCTATTTTATTATGCAAGAAGTCTGGTAAGTTTCCCCTTGTTAGGATATGTTCACTTACTCAGTTATGAAGTACAGAGAACAACTTTGCAAACTCTGAGGCACCGGACCCGTCAGATTGCTCAAAAGCCTTGCAACTACAAGAATAGGACGAGTCTACGTGACTTGCCACGGAGCCTTTCTCTTGGGGTGAATTTCCATAACAGGACAATCTGAAGCGTCAACCTACCCGCCCTTCTTGACACAGTAGAGCGCAACAAGTTTTATGTTATATATCCGAGATGTTGAATAAGAGCGACTGACTAGATATAAAATCACCATGAATCCCATCAAACAACGTTAAAAGGTACTGGTGTTGCGCTTGCGATCCAATCATCTACCTTCACTTTTCTGCAATAGCCATTCATCCAGGACGCAGTCAGAAGATCACCAGCATTCGCAACTGCCCGATCGCAACATCAGTAGATATTGAATCAGTGCTGGATATTTGTGAGAAGATGTGGAAGAAGTCTCCGCAATAAAGTTTCTTTACAAGATTGCTGAGACTTTAGAGGAATCGAAAAGACTACCAAAGGAGGGATGTAGGATGAGAATAATGGCTCTGACATAAGAACGGCGTTAAATTATTAAAGTGAGGCGACTATGCGAAGATCAAAATCCCAGATAATCGCCGGGGGCAGGCGGCCATGCGAATTTTGAGCAAGCGCGCACCGGAAAAATAGTTCGCTGATTTGTTGTGGCCCGCTTGCAGAAATTTGGAATAATTTTAGCGAAATTTTAGACGAATGCTTGGAGGACAATCGCGGTTTCTTTGTAGATTAGCTGCGGCGCAGTGGCCGCATTCTCGCGGACGTTCCGCGAGAATATGCAAAATTTTCGGGGGCCGCACGGTCCTTTGTGGAGGACCGCGCAGCCCCCAGGTACTTTCCGCTGAGAGAAAGTACCTCAAACTTGAGTAATTAAACCAACGGGGACACCTCTGCCGCACAGAGTCTTACGCACTCTGCGTATGCCCAAAACTGGTTAAAAAGAGTCCGAGCGCCTGCTGGAAGTTTGGCCAGCGCTCGCTGAAAGAAATCATTTGCCAAGCGCTTGCAGAAAATGCTGTATTGCTGCCCGCTGGCAGAATATGCGACCGTGAAGGAAGTGCCGCCCGCTGAAGGTTTAGCCACACCCCAAAATTCTGTTGACCGCTTGCAGAAAAGCGCGAGTTTGCGGACCGCCTGCCTCCGGCGACTATCTGAGATATTTCACCAAAGAGCGTTCCACTCGGTGCCTCGGCTCTTGCCCATTCTCATTTCAAATAGTCTCCTTTGAGAACTAGCTGGTTCGGAAGTCCTGCAGCGAGAGTAGCGCGCCCTCCATAAAAGAGCTTTCGTTCCTGTCCCTCTCGGTGCACTCCCCTCGGGGTATAGGAACGATTACCTCATTTAGGCACCGCCTCCGCGGACTATTGATCCTAACGCGATGTACAACATTATAGCGAGAGGACCAGCACTTCGCGGAGGAGGTGCTATATTGAGGTAATCATTCCTCTATCCCTTTATTCGTCGCCGGCTTTCATGCACACGCTCAGATAATCGCCGGAGGTAGGCGGCCATGCGAATTATGAGCAAGCGGGCACCGGGAAAATAGTTCGTTGATTTCTTGCGGTCCGCTTGCAGAAATTTGGAATAATTATGACCAATTTTTAGCTCGGAGAACTATCGTGGTCTTTCTGTGGATAAATTGCGGCCCAGTGGCGAGAATCAAAATTATTGGGGTTTGCACGGTCCTTTGTGGAGGAAGGACCGTACAGCCCGTAGGTACCTTCCGCTCAAAGAAGGTAACCCATACTCGAGTAATTAAACCATTGGTGATACCTCTGCCACATACTCAGATAATCGCCGGGGGCAGGCGGCCATGCGAATTTTGAGCAAGCGGGCACCGGAAAAGTAGTTCGCTGATTTCATGCGGTCCGCTTGCAGAAATTCGAAAGAACGCTGGCCAATTTTTAGAGGAATGCTCGGAGAAGTATCGTGGTTTTTCTATAGATTATTTGCGGCGCAGTGGCCGCATTCTCGCGGACTTTCCGCGAGAATATGCAAATTTTCGAGAGAGGCACGGTCCTTTGTGGAGGACCGCGCAGCTCCCAGATACTTTCCGCTGAGAGAAAGTACCTCAAACTTGAGTAATCAAACCAACGGTGACATCTCTGCCACACAGAGTCTTACCTGTGCTCGGCGTAAGCCCGAAACTGCGTAAAAAAGAGTCCGAGAGCCTGCTGAAAGTTTGGCCAGCGTTTGCTGAAAGAGATTATTTGACGAGCACACCTGCAGAAAATTCTGTATTGCTGCCCGCTGGCAGAATATGCGGCCGTGAAGGAAGTGCCGCCCACTGAAGGTTTGACCACGCCCCAAAATTCTGCTGACCGCCTGCAGAAAAGCGCGAGTTTGCAGACCGCCTAACTCCGGCGATTATCTGAGCATGACTAAATGGAGGCTGGAGCAAAAGAACTGCTATATTATTTTGAGAAAAAGGAGAAGCAGTTAGTTATTGTTTTTGGGACTCAAATCCTGAGTGGCCCACAGTGGATGACTTATGAAACGGCTTGGCATGTTATCATCGACAACACTCCCCAACACCATCAAGGAGGTTATCGCAGAGAAGAAGTTTGAATGATTCGGATGCAACTTGAGCGATTTGCAAATACAAACTGCAGAAATGTTTGCAAGAGGATCCTCGAAACATAAACCACGGTTTAAAGGAACCCGAAAGCCTGGTTTTGTCAATTCCGTAATTTCAACATAAAAATAACATTACGTCTTAGTGACCAACGGGGTACATCACGAAAACGGAACACCATCGGCCCGTCACATAGTGAGAGGGTGACTGGGAGGTTACCGTGAGCCCTTGAATGCCTTGTTCTTGAAGCGATTAGCGAAATGTGCACAGTTAATAAAACGGCTGAACCTATTCCAAAATTATCTTTAGCCTGACTTAAATAGATCAGGCCGAAACGTTGGCTTGCGCACACCTCCAAAGCTATGTGCATGCAAAACATCGTCGGAGAGATCAGATAAATAAGGAAAGAACAGACGGGGTCTATCATAACCACCAATAGCAAGCAGACGTGACGTTAGATCATAACGGCGCAAACCGGTTCTTAACACAGCTAAGTCGGATCGTGGATTTTGCATGAGAGACACGAATACGAGAGGGTTTGTTGCGCGCCGAGCAGCTTGTCATAAGTCATCTGAGTATCCAGTGAGTTCTTAAAAATGGGTAACATTGTTCAAGCTTCAGCAACTTCGATTACCGCAATGTAGTAATACAATAATATCGTTATACCACTTACATACTCTTTCTTCCTGGAGGCAGCAAGTGGGTGTAGTTTAAGCCCATCGTGTGAGCTTCACGGTGAACTATAATTTCCTTGGCCCACCATGATACAGCCCCAAGTGCAAATACGAATGCGGTATACGCTGCGGTTGCGAAAATATAGGTGAAGCTGAATGTCAACTATCAGATGAGCAAAAAAGTCGTCCGCACAAACTTTGTGGAAAGAGATTTGAGATCTTCACAATAGTTGGTAGCTGCAAGTGTAGTCAGAAGTTGGCCTTGTTCTTCCTCTGCAGCACCTCGTTTGGGCTCATCCACAAAGAAGATTATGAGTGAGATGCAGATAACACCTAATAAGCAGACCTTTGTACTTCAGAAAAGAATTATGACCACAATTTTGACGACAAGTTTCGTCACTTTTGAAAGGAAACTTACCTAGCACAAAAGTGATTCGTACACCCCAAGTCCAGTGGCCAGTGACAGCTGCTACCTTACCTCCAATAATATGGCCAAGCCCACTGTCAAACTTCTGATGCTTGGCTTTATTTTTTTAACACACTCACCTTCCAATTGGAATCGCAAAGTAAAACAACATATACATGCAGCTTCTGCTAGCACCAGCAAACATGTCAGCAATAACACAGGGTACCACCACTGTGAAACATGTCTGTCCCAAGCTTACCACAAAGCGGGAGAAGACGAAGAGCCAGAACATCTGGATAAGGAAACTTTGCAAATTTACAACACTCCCAAAAGCTCGTGTGGAAATGCATTCAATCAACGATATAAAACTGTTTGCGTTGAGGATTGTTGTAAGCAAGAGGGAGAGGCGGAGTAAAGGACAATTCGAAATAAGGTTTTTGCATTATTTGTATCAAGCTTTACCATAATGTCCCATCCTCTTTGCGATGTTCTGTGACTTACGACAACATTCAAAAATAATTGTTTTGCGATAGGCTATCACATGTTCACATCTATTGTTGATAATGCGTCTTCACGGAAAGCTGAATTGCGCGAACTCTAGCGTACTTTAGCATCATATTTATCGTTTACTTTGCATGCAGGGATATTTACGTCAGTGAAGCAACTTATTACTTACCAGTGCGTCACCTCTGCTTCGCAGAGGCTCGCACTGGCCTTACATTCTGTATGCCTTACTAACTCCCGCGTAATGATGACAGTGAAACTCACCGCGTTATGCAGGCTATCACGAATGATTTGTAAACAGCTACTCATTCCTAGAGCTTTTTGTGCGAGATCGGTAATTTCACGTGGATGAAACTTTTCTCAGAAGAATAAATGCAAATTTGAATAGATTTGTGGACTTCTCAAGGCTTGGAGTCGCCATAACGGCAATAATCATCGTGGGCTACATCTCTGTGCAAAAGTCTTCTCGAATGATCACGTAAAATTGTGGTAAATTGAACATTTACGCACTGATACTTTTTGGCGCCATTTTCGTAAAGTAACCAACTTTGATTGAATTTTTTGGACTAAAGTTCACGGCTTGTACATTAGCTTGTCATACGTATCCACGACTTTGCAAAAAGTTTATATACGGACCCAATTTTGCTGGTCAGAAGTTAGGTGGACCCGTTTCGCGCGCAATTTCTAGGGGATCCACTTATCGGATGCTTCTGTGCTTCTGCACAATGGGCTTTCCTGCTGCTAGGATGTGCTGTGCAAAATTTGGGCTCAAGAGGTTGGCTGGAACTCTCCCTACGAATTTCGTAACGGACAGACAGACACACACACAAAAAAACGTAAACAACCCTTAGCTCGTTATTATAAGTTACCAGTGCGTCACCTCTGCTTCGCAGAGGCTCGCACTGGCCCTACTTTAACCATGCCTTACTCTTTCCCGCATAATAATTACATTGAAACTCACCGCGGTGGTCAGGCTATTACGAATGATTCGTCAACAACTACTCATTCCTAGAGATTTTTCGTGTGAGATCGGTATTTTCGCGTGGATGAAATCTTTCCCAGAAGAACAAATGCAAATTTGAATAGGTTTCCGGAATTTCTATGGCATCGTAGTCACCATAAGAACAGCAAAGATCGTGGGCTACATCTCTGTGCAAAAATCTTCTCAAATGATCAGGTAAAATCCTGAAAAATTGACCGTTTACGCAGCCAATGCTTTTTGGCGCGGTTTTCGTAAATTAGTAGACTTTTCATCACTTTTTTAGGCTAACGTTTAGGCTTGCACGTCAACTTGTCGAATATATCCATAACTCTGCAAAAAAGCAGTACTGCGGACCTAAATTTGCTGGCCAGAAGCCAAGTGGGTCCGTTTGACGCGCAATTTTCAACGGATCCACTCAACGGATTCGCTCATGCATTTGCATAGTGAGCTTTCGTGCTGGTAGCGTGCGCTATGCAAAATTTGGGCTCAGGACGTTGGCTAGAACACGCTCTACGAATTTCGTAACGGACAGACAGACACACACACAGACAAAAAGACGTAAACATCCTTAGCCGCTTATTATAAGTCATGATGATTATTTATTGAATAAACACATAGGGATGTAGCGGGATAGGGCTTTCGGTTTTACTGTGCTCATCTCAACGAATTCACTGATACGCTACTAAAGTGCGGTTCATAAATATACGAACACCCCAAATTTCAAAAATTTTTGGACTTTTTGGAAGAAACTCAGAAAGTCACTGGTACCACGCGATAGAACACAGCCGAAAACGGTATATGCTCCATAAGAATGGAAATGGATGTCAATCTTAGGAGCGTTTTTGCGCCTAATGCGAATTTTTAGCGGTTCCGAACACCTCAAACAAAGGTCCAATTTTCATCCGCGAGTGCAGTCTTTCGAATCCAAATTTTTTGTAGTGTTACAGCAACAAAGTTTGAAACATCTGCTACACACTGAACCCAGTGCAGCTCAAAAAGAGGATCACTACTTTTTTCAGATGGCTCTACTCAGACAGCGGGTAGGACCCCTCCGCCGGAGAAATGGCAGGGTCGCGGCGTTTCCCAATCGGTGGGTCTGCCACTCGTCCGCCGGAGCCCTCCCATTTCTGCTCCGGATACCTCCCATTTTCTGCTCCGGAGACCTCCCATTTCTGCTCCGGAGACCTCCCATTTTCTGCTCCGGATACCTCCCATTTTCTCCGGATACCTCCCATTTTCTGCTCCGGAGACCTCCCATTTTCTGCTCCGGAGACCTCCCATTTTCTCCGGATACCTCCCATTTTCTGCTCCGGAGACCTCCCATTTTCTGCTCCGGATACCTCTCATTTTCTGCTCCGGATACCTCCCATTTTCTGCTCCGGATACCTCCCATTTTCTGCTCCGGATTCCTCCTATTTTCTGCTCCGGAGCTCCCATCTGCTCCGGATACCTCCCATTTTCTGCTCCGGATACCTCCCATTTTCTGCTCCGGATACCTCCCATTTTCTGCTCCGGAGACCTCCCATTTTCTGCTCCGGATACCTCTCATTTTCTGCTCCGGATACCTCCCATTTTCTGCTCCGGATACCTCCCATTTTCTGCTCCGGAGACCTCCCATTTTCTGCTCCGGATACCTCTCATTTTCTGCTCCGGATACCTCCCATTTTCTGCTCCGGATACCTCCCATTTTCTGCTCCGGATACCTCCTATTTTCTGCTCCGGAGCTCCCATCTGCTCCGGATACCTCCCATTTTCTGCTCCGAATACCTCCCATTTTCTGCTCCGGATACCTCCCATTTTCTGCTCCGGAGACCTCCCATTTTCTGCTCCGGAGACCTCCCATTTCTGCTCCGGAGACCTCCCATTTCTGCTCCGGAGGCCTCCCATTTTCTGCTCCGGAGACCTCCCATTTTCTGCTCCGGAGACCTCCCATTTCTGCTCCGGAGACCTCCCATTTCTGCTCCGGAGACCTCCCATTTTCTGCTCCGGAGACCTCCCATTTTCTGCTCCGGATACCTCCCATTTCTGCTCCGGATACCTCCCATTTTCTGCTCCGGAGACCTCCCATTTCTGCTCCGGAGACCTCCCATTTTCTGCTCCGGATACCTCCCATTTTCTCCGGATACCTCCCATTTTCTGCTCCGGAGACCTCCCATTTTCTGCTCCGGAGACCTCCCATTTTCTCCGGATACCTCCCATTTTCTGCTCCGGAGACCTCCCATTTTCTGCTCCGGATACCTCTCATTTTCTGCTCCGGATACCTCCCATTTTCTGCTCCGGATACCTCCCATTTTCTGCTCCGGATTCCTCCTATTTTCTGCTCCGGAGCTCCCATCTGCTCCGGATACCTCCCATTTTCTGCTCCGGATACCTCCCATTTTCTGCTCCGGATACCTCCCATTTTCTGCTCCGGAGACCTCCCATTTTCTGCTCCGGATACCTCTCATTTTCTGCTCCGGATACCTCCCATTTTCTGCTCCGGATACCTCCCATTTTCTGCTCCGGAGACCTCCCATTTTCTGCTCCGGATACCTCTCATTTTCTGCTCCGGATACCTCCCATTTTCTGCTCCGGATACCTCCCATTTTCTGCTCCGGATACCTCCTATTTTCTGCTCCGGAGCTCCCATCTGCTCCGGATACCTCCCATTTTCTGCTCCGAATACCTCCCATTTTCTGCTCCGGATACCTCCCATTTTCTGCTCCGGAGACCTCCCATTTTCTGCTCCGGAGACCTCCCATTTCTGCTCCGGAGACCTCCCATTTCTGCTCCGGAGGCCTCCCATTTTCTGCTCCGGAGACCTCCCATTTTCTGCTCCGGAGACCTCCCATTTCTGCTCCGGAGACCTCCCATTTCTGCTCCGGAGACCTCCCATTTTCTGCTCCGGAGACCTCCCATTTTCTGCTCCGGATACCTCCCATTTCTGCTCCGGATACCTCCCATTTTCTGCTCCGGATACCTCCCATTTTCTGCTCCGGAGGCCTCCCATTCTCTGCTCCGGAGAACTCCCACTTGTGCTCCGGACCCCTCCCATTTTCTGCCGGCGCGGCTCTTCCAAATCTGGCGGACTCGCGCCGGGCAAATTTCTCCTGCGCGACTCTGCCAAATCTGGCAGAGCCGCGCCGGAGAAATGGCGTACCTTTGCAGCAGGGCCGGAGAAGCGTCCCATTTGCCTGCCAGTGTTGTCACCGCGACGGACCGCCCATTTGCCCCGCTCTCATTGGTCAACTGGGTCCGGCGCGACTCTGGCAGATTCGGACTGTCCGGCGGAGGGGTCCGGTCGATTGTCTGAGTAAATGCTTTTAGAATGATTGCGCTCCAAAAAAATACGTTCTATAGTGGTTTAGGCACTCTATTTAGCTTGTATCAAGGCTATGAGATGAAATAAGCTCTTTCGATAGATATTTTGGTACTTTTCCGTTATCCGGACCCATTTCTTCGAAAAGCTCTCATAATATACGTTCTTCAGCCTAAGAATAATTTTTTGTAGAATCTTCGTGGACTGCCTCCTTGCTACGTGTCACGAAAAAATTGGCACGTTTTGGTCCATTTTGGCATGTTTTTTTCGAAATTTCCGGTGAGATAAACGAAAGTTATGATCATTTCAAAGCTACTCAACTGTGTTACATAAGCGCAAAACAATCATGGGCTTATTCTTGCTTCAAGCAGTGATTCAGGAATGATATCCACGAAGGTCCATAATGGAGGAAAATGGACTTTCAAGCTCCATTTTATTCGATCGCGGTGAAGAGTGGTCGGAATCTGCTTTCGCTCGCGTTATCCAAAAATTTTCATCCCATCGCAAC